TGTCAGTTGTTGAAATGTTGTGGGCTGTTGGGGTGGTTTGTTCCATTGCTTTTTCATATTACTTGCATGTCTACCCACTTATTGGGATAGTTATGGCTTCTTTTAAGCAAGAGACTGTTTCATAAGCTTCTCCCTATTAAGAGCCCTGGGTTGGGAGCATATCCAGATATCGATTCTTAAACTTAATGTGACCTCTGCTATTTCCAGTATCAGCTCCACTATGAAAGAAGCCATTGAACCCTATTTACTACAAGCACTTTAGAGCCAAGTCATGTAATATTTAACCTTATAAAAAGCAATGAACTCGTTGGTACTGTTCTCCACAGTCCCTCTAATCCAGGTATAAACTTGTAGTAGTATAGTTCTCTCAGATCAGTTTTTCCTGCTTTTTTGTATTGAGGGGAGATTGGGAATTGCATCCTAGCCCCATTCTACCATGTCATCTCTCAGTAGTTCTTAACATTAACTTGCAACTCATTTCTTTTGAGTTCTTTTTCAGATCTACCCTCTTTATTCTTTCCATCCAGGATTCCAAAGACCTGAATATCAGATTTTTAAAAAATAGTGTCATAGATTTGTAGGGATGTTTTGTTTTTGTGATTTTTATTAGTATTTTTTTTCTTTGTGGCTTAGATTTATTTCTGTTGTCTTGTCTTTTTGTTCACTGATCTCTCCACCTCCATTCTGTTGTTGTGGTCATCCACTGGTTTTGCAGTCCCCCCCCACTCCCTCCCAGGGATATGTGTGTGTGTGTGTGTGTGTGTGTGGTTTGAAATCTCCTTTTGGTTTTTATTTGTTTTTCCATTTTTTTGCTTAGACTTTCTGTCTCACTGCTAACGTTTTCTGGTTTTAATTTGTTTAAAGCATGTTCATAATTGCTCAGTTGAGCATTTTTATGTTTGTTTTAAAATTTGGTTAGATAATTCTAGTATTTCTGTCATACCAGTTATTGAAACGTATTGATTCTTTTCTTTCAGTTTGAGAACTATCTAGTCTAGTTTCACTTGAAAACATATCATGTTATGCGACTGGATCTTAGAAATTTTATTTTGGCTGGCTTCTTCAGGTACCACTCTAGTGAAGGAAGAGGGAGGGCACTGTTTTTTTATTGTCAGGTGGGTATAAAAGTCCAGGTTCACCTTTGGCCTCCATTAAGTCAAGATGAAGTGTTCTCCCACTGTTGTTTGGGTGGGCTGGGAATTCTGACTAGCCATATGATTTCTGCTGAAATTTTGGTAGGGATGGTCTTATCTCTATGAATGGTGACGAAAGTCCTGAAAATGTCCTGTTATATCTCTGATCTCACCACCCTGGGGAAAGGAAGAGGTACCTTTTGGCTGCTGCATGGGGTGGAAATCAATGATACCAAGGGACAGGGATTTCTCTAGTTATCCTTCTCTTACCCCATCCCAGCAGATGGATTGGGTGGCTCTAAAGGTTGGTTTCTCTCTTGGCTTTTGTTGTTATGATAGGAGTGAGGTAGTATTTGGCTGAAGCAAAGATATTATTGTTCAAAAGTTTTCTGTATTCCCTTGCTGTTTCTTTCCTGGTATTTTGCCTTTTATAGGTGCTTTTCATATTTGTGCCTGTTTTAGCCCATTTTGTGCTGCTGTAACAAGTTCTTGAGAATGGAGTAATTTATAAAGACCACAAATTTGATCCTCATCATCTAGTGACTTGAGTCGTTGAGGATCAAGGCAATGGCAGGTGGGGTTGTCTGGTGAGGGCTGCCCTCTGTTTTTAAGATAAAGTCTTGCTGTTACATCTTCCGGGGAGGAGGAACACTGTTTTCACATGGCAGAAGGCAAGAGGGCCAAATGTCGCAAGAAGTGGTTTTTATAAGGGCCCTTTTATAAGGACCTTTATCCCTTTCACAAATGAGGAGGCTTTAAGGTCCCACTTTTTGATACTGTCACATGGCTATTAAGTTTCAACACTTTAATTGTAGAGGCATAGTACTGCCCACTGGAATTTCTGGACTGTCAGCCTCTTTAAGAATAGATGTCATTCTTTACATTTCAGGTCTGCTCTCTACTCTGCACTTTTTCAAGAATCTTATACTTGATTTACACATAATTCAAAGAAGTTTTAGTTGTAAAAAAGTAGGAAAAAGTACATCTATTCCATCTTCCCTAAAGTAAATATTTACATTACTTAAATGTCTATATATTGATTTTCCATTTTCATTCAGTTTAAATTATTTTTGGATTTCCCATGTTTTCTACTTTGATTCACTGGATATTTAGGTTGTGTTAATTTCCAAGTATTTGGAGTTTCCCAGATTTCTTTCTGTTTTTGATTTCTGCAAATTTTAAAATGTACTTTATAATAGTAACAATGTACAATATAGTCCTGCCTGAGATGTTAGTAGCAGTGTTCTGTGCCAGCTTTCTTTGCACTCCAGCTTACTCCTTAGAGGCACCACTCTGTATTTCCTCTGATGATTTTCTCTGATTGTTGTGTAAATGCAGAAGCCAAAGAGTTGAAAAACTTGTTTCCTATATCCTCAACTAAGGTTAATTTTTACTTAATCTGCATGTGTAACATGAGGATTTTGCTGATCCGTCTAACCCCCATTCTTCCAGTGTTCAATAATGATTGTTTTCAATTTTTGGATTACTTAATTATATAGTAATATCACTACTTATTGTTCCACTAATTTCTAGCAATACAGTTTTAGAGACATTTGCTGTTCTCTTTTTATTTATTCAACAATATTTATTGATGAATAATCACATTTTAGTTTATTCTTTAATGTTATGAAATAGCAATTATTATTACATTGTTTTTAAAACTTCAGAACATTATTAAGGATAGGCAATAGGAGATTGTTCTGAGTCATGTTTTCATGTTGCATAAATAGAAAATTGAGAAGATCTGGATTTATTGTCAGCTTGATGTAGTGCTATGATGTTGAGTTGTTTGCCCATTTGATGTTCATACTTTTTGTGTTCACAAAATTCTCATCTGAAGCTAAAAATTAAGCTTAGAAAAATTTGGAAATGGTAAAAGCATTTAATGTTCACTGTATGCCAGCATTTTACATATAAGCTCTATTCTTAACCTTTCTTGAAATTTGAAAGAGGACATGACAGAGGTGCAGAAGCCATAGAAACTATAGCTTGCAGTCAGAATTTGACTACAGTTCTGAACTTAAAGCCATGCTTTCGTTGGGCTCACTGGTGCACACCTTATTCCCAACCACTCAGGAAGCTAAGGAAGGATGATCTCAGTTTCCAGTCTGGGCAGCTAAGTGATATTGCTGTCTCAAAATAAAAAAATAAAAGAGGCTGGGAATGTAGGTCAGTGGTGAAGTGCCCCTGAGTTTGATCCATAGTACTGCTAAAAATAAAATAAAAGTGCACTCTCTCTTGTTTCAAAGTGTATCCACAGAAAAAAATGAATATAATTCTGGATTTAGTTCATATATTTAATGTGGTAATTTTTTATACATCTGATAAATTTGAGAGAATGGAAATAATAGATTTTGTCAGTGTCAGTTTTTTAAAATTTTCTTTTAGTAGTAGATAGACAGAATGCCTTTATTTTATTTGTTTATTTTTATGGAGTACTGAGAATCGAACCCAGTGCTTTGCACATGCTAGGCAAGTGTTCTGCCACTAAGCTACGGCCCCAGCCCTCAGTGTCAGTTTTTAAAAATAAAATTACAGAATTGTAATGTATAGTGATATATATTATGTGAATATCTATAATGTGATGCCATTATGTAGTATCAAGTGACTTCAGCTATGTGCTGCTTCTAATGCCCAGGGAGATGTCTGGAAGGATGAATACTAAAGTATTGATGTGTTAGTTCTACTTGATTCTTATTTTCTTTTTTTAACTCTTCTTTATTTTATTTTGGTCCCCACCCCAAAGGTCTCACATCCTTTTTTATAAAATCTTTATCGTTTTTTAAAAAATTTCTGATATCAACATTTTTTAATTTTTAATTTTTCTCCCCTCCTCCACATCGTTAGACTTTTAAAAGTGAATTGCAGATTGCAAAGAATTGGTTAATTAAATTTTCTGCTTGGCAAAAGTTTTAATGGGCACAGAAGCTATTATTCCATTTCATTCCAGTTTCTGATATATATAAATGGTTTCTATGAGTACTTAATAGACATAATAGGGGGATTCATTGTGACATATTTGCACATGCATATAACATGATTTGATCAGTCTCACTCCTTACTACCTCCCATGTTTCTTCTCCCCATCCTCTTTCTCTATTCTACTGTTCTCCCTTCTATTATTATTTTTAAATAGTACATTATAATTATATATAAAAGTGGGATTTACTGTGGTATATTTATACACAGACTTTGCATAATTTCTTTGATTTTATTCCTGAGTACATACTTCCCCTTCCCCTTTCCTTTTATTCACTGTCTTTATTCTGTCGGTCTTCTAATTTTGTGGGATCCTATTTTTATTTATTTTTTTCTCTCTCTAGTTTTCACATATGAAAGAAAAACCCTTAACTTTCTGAATATGGCTTATTTCACTTAGCATGATGTTCTCCAATCCCATCCATTTGCCAGCAAAGGACATAATTTCATTTTTATTTATAACTCAGTAGAACTCCACTATGTGTATATGACACATTTTTTTTATTCATTAATTTACTGCAGGGCTCTGTGGGCTCATTCTATAACTTGGCTATTGTGAATTGTGCTGCTATAAACTATGTTTTATATATTTTAATGAGGAAATAAATTCAGAGACCTAAATTAAATGTTATGAAATGTTCTGTAAAACTTAGTATTTTTATTAGTTTTATTTTAATTATATATTTTTAGACTTGATTTTATAGTTGATTATATAAATATTACATATATAATTTTAAAATGACTGTTTCCTAGATGCAATGGTTTAAATAAACTTGTGAAAATTTATAATGTCAAAGGTGACCATCGTAAATTGGTGTTTTGGAAGAATTATTATTTTAAGAGAGTATATTTTCTTCCATTCTCTCTTCTTGTTTTTATCTTTTATAGGTAATCATAGCCTACTGGTATCGCACATTCGTGGGAATAACGAATTTATTTGGGGTAGAAACTAAGACCTGCTGGAATGTCACCAGAGTAGAACCTCTTAACGAAGTTCAAAGCTGTGAAGGCATGTTTCTTCCTAAAATGCTGCTGTGCTGTCCTTGCTGTTTCCATAAACATCTCAGAGTGTTAGGACTCAATTACTGTAAACTACTGTGATTAATTTTTTTTCTCTAGAATACCTTAGAAATATCTTACCCCAATAAGTATTTTACACTTTCAAGTAGATTTCTGAGAAGGCTCTGTATTTCCTTATTTGAGTATAAATACACTTCAATGTAAAGCAATCTTTTTTTCTTTTTTTGGGGGGGGTTGCTGGAGATTGAACCCAGGGGTGCTTAACTATGGAGCCACATCCCCAGCCAGTTTTTATATAGAGACAGGATACTGCTAGGTTACTTAGGACCTTGCCAAGTTGCTGAGGCTACCTTTGAATTCATGATCCTTCTGCATCATCTTCCACAGCCTTTGGGATTATAGGCATGAGCTACTGCATCTGGCCAGTGTAAAGCAATCTTGAGTAAAAATCAGTTTTCCATTTCAGAATGAGATAATACTGAAAAAAAAAGAGTGTTTCTGATGACTTCAGTATGTAAATGTTGAGGATAGATTAAACAATTCAACAATGCTAGTAATAGTTATTATATAACTTTAATTATGCACACATACTTACACATACAATATTTCTAATACAGTACTTGATTTTATTAGAAATATTGCTTTATTGTGTGTTTATATTCCATGAATAATTCTAAGTAAACTCTTTCTATGTATCTTCTACACTGGTGTCTTTGTCAAAGAAACATTTTTGGAATTTAAACAGTTTTTCAGGACATGTAAATAGTCATTTCTATTTAAGATACTTGTAATCTAGCACTTTTACAATCCAAGTCCCTAAAGACTTTAATTCAAAGTTATATACATCTACTTGCATAACATTTTTACAGTTGTTTTTTCTTTAGATTCTCCACAGAATGACTACTTGACTATATTTTACAAATGCATTTGTATAGTTGTATTTATATTTAACATTCAGCTCTTGAGATATAAAATAAATCTACATTTCCCTAATATTTTACTGATTCTTTTACATGACATTTATAAAATCTAAAACTAAACTGCTGTCTGAGGGAAAATTATATTTTTTATAACATAAAGGAATGGAGAAAATGCTTCATTAAATAAAAGTCTCAATGACTCAATCAATTAGAAGTATAACTTTTTCTGAGGGATGAAAAACCATCACCTTATATAGGAACACAAGAAATGCTTACTAAGTTCACAATAAGTAAACAGGTTATTGTTTGACACTTGGGACATAGCAATTGACTAGTGGACACGTGTCCTTGATCTCATAAACTGTATACTATTAGAGGGCTGTTAAGTGTTAGAACTGTGGTGAATATTACAAATGAGATAATAAGTTTGCTGAAGTTAGGAGTGAGAAATATTTCAAGAGAAATAGAGAGAAATGCTTCAAGAATAGGGACCAACATATTCAAAAGTCCAGAGGCAAGAGGGAACTGAAAGACTAGAAGTGGAACACAGAGATAGAGAAGAAAATTGGTGTGAAATGATGCTGGGAATTCATGCAAGGGTCAGATCATGATGGGCCAGATGCTGGTTAAGAATTTTGTACTTTATCCATTGAAGAACTTTAGTAGGTTCACATGTTAGACATGACTTTGACAGCTATATGGAAAGGCCATTAATATAAGGTACAGGTGGATTCAGTAAGGCCAGGTAAAAGAAGGCTGTGGTCTCAGCAAGCAATTGTAGAAAAATATTATGAAATCCTTGGATTTCAGAGAGATTCTGGAAGTAGAATAAACATGATTTGGCAGTTGATGGGAGAGAAGAGGGAGAATGAAGAGCCAAGTAACGCTACTTGGTTTGTAGCTTGAGTTCCTTTGAATGGTAGGAAACATGAAAAGTATCAGGTTGAATCACTACATTTCATTGTGGATATATTTGTGGTAATTGAGAGACCTCAAAGTGGAGATGTCAAGTGGCTACCTGGATGTATAACATTAGGAATAAGAAGAGCATTGTGGGATAGACTTGGAGTCATCTCTATATAGATAATCATTGAGGTGAAGGAAGTGGAAGCAGATTGAGAAGAGAGCAAGTGACAGGCTAGGGTGGTCTAGCATTGAAGAGAGGTATGTAAAACCATAAAAGTTATTACAGTGGGCAGAAAGGAGTGGACAGGAATAAGAAGGAATCACATGGGCCAGACTTCAGATTTTAGATCCAACAAGTTGAGCACATCTTAGCAAGTAATTTTCTGTTCTGTTTTTTTAATATCAACACAGAATACTTCCATCCCAATAATCTTATAAATCTCATCTAAGAATTATATGAAATGATGATTATAAAACACACAAAGTGCTAGACATAAAACGAAATCTAACATACAAGATATGTTAATATTCTTGCTACATACAATAATTAATCAAATAACTGGATCATCTCATATAGGCTTAAGTTGCTCCTTGAGGTGGGGTACTATATTTATTCATCCCAGAGCTTGGCAAGAGACATGAATAGTATAACAAGATATGGCTTTTTTCTTGGAATTCATGAAGTGGTTCTGTAGAGAGTTGCAGACAAACTAGTGTGAAATTCCAACAAATCATCATAGTATAAGTGTGACTATAATAAAGCATAAATGTAACTACATAATACATTATAGAGGCTGGAAATGTAGCTTGGTGATAGAGTGTTTGCCTAGTACGCACTAGGCCCTAGGCTCCATTCCCTGTACTAAGGAAAGAAAAAAAAAAAAAAAGAAACATGTACAAGGGTAAAGATTATTGTAACTATTAAAGAAAGCAGGTATTTGGAAAGTATATGCTTTCATCAGATTCATGAGCTCTTGATTACAAAGCACTAAGAAAAGTGTGCCCAATTGCTTTATAACATTTGTTCATTAAATACTGAATAATTTGTGTCTTTTCAAAGGATTGGGAGACCCCGCTTGCTTTTATGTTGCTGTGATTTTTATTTTAAATGGACTAATGATGGGATTATTCTTCGTATATGGTACATACCTGAGGTAAGACTACTGAATTAAAAGATCTTACAAAGAGATTATAAGGACTGGCTGATGTTTCTTGATTAAATGAAAAGGATAATTACTGAGGTTAATTAATTAGTAGAAGGAAAGTTTGTACATTCATTTGATTGTTTTCAGAGGCTTAACCATTATTAATACAACCAGAAACTGAAAATGTCACAGAAATATCTTTAAAGGCCTCTCTTTTATCTGTGTGGGGATTTTAAAAACTAACTTAAGATTTCTTAACAAAGTTTTTAATGAAAATGTCTCTAGTTTATGCATAAAATTACTATAGCATTAGAGGGGAACTCTGGTTGGCATTAATAGCAAAATTATTTCATATTTTAATCTCTGTAAATGTGAGATTAAGATAGCTATGGGAAAAAAAAACTATACATCACTTATGATGGACCCTTACATCGGTTAGCCTGTGCTTTTTGATAGAAGTACCACAGTTTTATTTGGAGTAGCAGTGGTCTCAGTCTCTGATGATAGTTGGAATTAATTATAACAATCATGTGTTTTGCCCTCACTCTCCATAGTTCTTGGGAGAGCCATATGAACTAACTTTTCTCAGGGGAAAATAGGGCAAAATCAGCCATGGTTTCAGCTAGTGTAGCATTGTCTTTGTCACAAAAGGACAAATTCAGCTGCCTCTTCTCTATTTTTTTCCTGCTTTTACTTAGTTATGATTCTTGGAGTTCCTGCAATCATCTTGTAACCAAGAAGAAAAGTCCATAAAAATAGCAAATATGTCTCTGTAAATTGCTTACAAAATTCTAGAATACCAAATACATTAATAGTCACTAGTCTTTAAGAAATACATAGATATAACCAATATTGGCTATAAAAATGTCACCCAAACTGTGAAGAGACTAGGAATTATAGCATATGAGCAACAAAAGAAATAGAAATTTGGGGGAATTTTTGGCCACCCTCCCTCACTGGCATTAACTTGGAATGTAGATTATTTTTATTCTGTTAGTAATTAACCATAAAATGTTAACATGCACATCTAACTTGAAAGTCTAAAATGAACTGACATCTTTTCCCTTCTGATCAATCAATGTGAAGTATTTTAGGACAATATTTCAAAACAGCCTCTCACATCTTACATGTTAGTACCCTAGTTTAGTATTCCTATTACCTTTCCATAGCAGCTCATGTTATCATTGTTTTTGTTTTCAAATGTTTGATTCATTCACATGCTCCTAGTTCCTATTAGAATGAATCATCTGTTTCTCACACTGCTTCTTTCAACTTCTTCCTTTTTAAATTTCCTTTAGTTAGAGTCTGTCTATAGCAAATGATTCCCCATTAGTTTTCCTATTTTTGTTTTTGTTTTTTTCTTTGGTACCAAGGATTGAACTCAGGGGCACTCAACCACTGAGCCACATTCATCCCCAGGACCCACAGGATGATTGTGAGATCAAAGCCAGCCTCAGCAAAAGTGAGGTGCTAAGCAACTCAGAGATTCTGTCTCTAAATAAAATACAAAAAATAGGGCTGGGGATGTGGCTCAGTGGTCGAGTGCCTCTGAGTTCAATCCCTGGTACCCTCTGCCAAAAAGAAAAAAAAAAAAGAAAAAGAAAGAAAGAAATGGCTCTTAATCTTTGATGATTATTAGCCATCCTTGATCTGATGTTTGTATTCTGATTACTGCTTACTTCAGATTCAACAATAGAAAAATTGCAGTTATTTATACAATTTGAAATTACTATCAAATGAAGCTATTAGATTCTTGTATCTTTCAGTCCCTTAAATCCAGTTTCAAAAGACAAAAATTTATCTCCATTTACATTTTTTTGAAGAATACAAACTCTGAAATGCTGACCTGTTTGTTAAAAAATAATCATGTTCAGACCTTATATCATCATTCAGAAAATATTTAAATATAATAAATTTTAAAATTTAGATTATTATATGTTTGTTTTGTCTCTTTATACATTCAAGGTTAAAACTTTGACTACCTGGGTATTTAAATTTTTTTTACAAGTAATGGCTTACTGTTATTATATTTTAAATACGGATAACCATGATTTAAAATTCTAACATAGTTTTGTGGAAAACTTGCTATACATAAATTGTAACTATGCTCTTTTTTTTTTTATAAAACAGTGGGACTCAGTTAGGAGGTCTAATTACAGTACTGTGCTTCTTTTTCAACCATGGAGAGGTTCGTTTTTAGAAAAAATTAGGGTCTGTATAGGAACAAAGAAATATCATTAAAACAATATGTAATTGCATATTATTTGTAATTTTGCAATATTTGTTGTAAGTTGATATTTTAATTGTGTTGATTTAAAGTTTTAAATCATTAGAACTAAATATATGAAATATCTTGCATGGGTTTTAGTAAATATTCACATATATTCTTTAGAAAAGAGGAAACACTATACTTGTCAAGTCAGGCACTTCACTTTACTTTTGTTTATTTCTGACGAATCTTTGGAAGTAGTTTTTTTTCCTCACCATACACATTATGGAACTGAATTTTAGAGAGATTAGTTTCTTATCCAAGATTCACTACCTGATGTAGCTGGGTTTCTCATTCTATATCTGAATTTCTCATTCTATATCTCATTCTAGATCCTCACTTTCCATTCTATTTATAAAGTATGTACTTAACTTTTAATTGTCATGAACACTGAACATAAGACCTGCTCTCCTAAAAAATTTTTAAGTATGTGACACAGCATTATTAATAAAATGTTGTACAACAGCAGAGCTATAGGACTAACTCATCTTGCATAACTGAAACCTTATGCCATTGCATATGTTCAAGGATGGAAGTGGCCTCAGGCCTGATGACATTCACTTGAGGCATTGCCACCCAACTGTCTCACTTCTTTCTATCATGTCATGGTCCCTTTTCAAACACAAATGCTAAATTCAAGATAGAAATTAGCTTACTAATTCATCCCAGAACAACATAAATTGCCTAAAAAAGAGCTCATAGAAACTTACTTGAAATATCATTGATTCACTTGACAAAATGTTGAGTATATATCATGTAACAAACTCCATTATATGCCAAAGATGTGGCAGTAAAAAAGAATCTTACTGCTAACTTTTGGAATGGCACAGATTACATAGGAGAAAAGTCTTTTTATCTGTTGTAAGTGGGTTAATAAGTTATATAAGGGAATAATAAAAATTGCACATAAAATGCTTCAAATATATTAACTTAAAGCAAACAAATGCCTTGTCATTCAGGTATCTGTTAACATAAAAAGCCTTTTACTTGAGTGTGACAGACAGCTGGTGGTATGAGTTGAGTTTGTGTGTGTGTGTATGTGCGCGTGCACACACGTTCATGTGTAGTGATGGGAATGAACCCAGGGCTTTGCATATGTCAGGCAAGCGCTCTGCCTTGCCTGAGCTACACTCTTAGCCCAAGTTGACTTTTTAAACATAATTAATCTTTGAAGGTTTACAATTTTGATTTCTTAGAAGAAGAACAATAAAAGACTCTTGCAAATTAAAAAGTTTAAATTCTTTCTAGAATTTCTTTTTTTTCGTTTTCATTTTTTTTAGTTGTGAAGCTGGGGATTGAACCCAGGGGCTTGTGCATGCAAAGCACTCCAGCCCTCAGAATCTTTGATAAATTTTTTTTTATAATTCTGACTCATACACCCATATGTCTTAGAAAGTGTTAAAGTATATATGAAAATTTAATGAATAATTTATTAAATGCATTAGTTTGAGAAAGACACCCCCAAATTTTCAAAATATGGATAATTACAAAGCTTATGTACATGTATGATTTAAGAAAATAATATAATTCCACATTCTATTAGTGTCTCTGTTTGATGAATATTAGTAATCAACATGTAAAAGATGTTTTTCAGTTTTTAAAATTTGCAGTAAACTCTTTTAAAGATGTATGTCATAAATTCAGTGGTAATCTTGGTATTTACAAATGCCCTAGGTGACATCTGTTTACATATTTTTTAGAGAGGTACACACCTCAAAGCCTGAAACTCCAGGATCAAGCCTGTAGGACTGGCACGTGGACCTGATCCAGGAGTCTCACAGTCCCTATCCTTACCCTCTTCTTTGGCCTTTGGGTTTCCTTGTGCTTGGTCTGAAGTATCTTTCACTGATTTCTAGAATAGGTAGTTAATCACTCTCTACTTAATGGCTGTGTGAAAGTGAGCTCCAAAACCTGAGAAGCTCTGCTAGTGTCATCTCAGTTGTTTTTCTTAGACACAGAAATAGGATCTAGTGAGCCTAGTATTAAAATTAGTTAAGTGAGCCAACCCTTAAGTTTTAAATTAATAATGTTTGTTGTAATGGAACATGACATAAATTGAGCATTTTACTGATTTCAGGCTACCCGTGTAATGTGGACACCACCTCTCCGTGAAAGTTTTTCATATCCATTCCTTGTTCTTCAGATGTATATTTTAACTATGATTCTCAGGTAATTTTCATTTATACAAGAAAATGAAATAAATTCTAACTTATGTTTATAAAAATTTACTCAATATATTGAATTGTAATTACCAAATATAGGTGATTTTTTAAAAGTTTTTTAAAGAGCTGGGTGTGGTGGTACATGCTTGTAATCCCAGCAGCTCAGGAGGCTGAGGCAGGA